CTGTCCCCAGAAATGGAAATAGAGATGTTGAGGAAGGGAAGGGAGGAGTCAACAATAGACCAGGTGAAAGTGAGGGCGAGGTGGAATTTGAAGCAAGATCGACGCGTAGTTCTGGATCCCCAACATCATTGGGAACATCCTTCCTTCATTTATCCTGTCGAGTCCTGTCAGAATTTTGTAAGTTTCTGTAAGATTGCCCCCCATATCACATGCAATTGCCCTCTTAATTGCTCACTACCCCACTCCCTCATTCAATCTCTTCTAGTTTTAGTTTGGTCAAGGTTGATTAGGTTCAGGGGTCAGTATCACTGGTGACACACTGCAGTGATGCCCCAGCACAGTATGAAGCGCACACTGTGTCAGTGGGTCACTTATGTTCAACTGGGCCTGCAAGGATATGCTGTCTGCAAACACAATTCAGTAAAATGGTCCAAACAAATCAAATTATGGAATAAAACCACCTAATTATAGTTAACATCTTCTGGATTGCTTTTAAAAGTTGCCGTGTGATTGATGACAAATTGGGTTGTTTCCTGACCATTCCAGGAGAGGAACCTGAGAAGGGAAGAAATAGCAGAGCCTTGGATTCTAATTCTTCATAGTTCTGTTGAAAGGAAAGCTCTATAAGGTGCCGGGTCTTGTAAAGCTGCAGGTCAAGTGCTGGAACATGGGATTAGAACAGTTAGGTGCTTGTTTATGACTGGCACAGACTCAGTGGACCAAAGGGCCTCTTTCTGTGCTGTAGATGTCTATGACTTCTCGACTGATCAGTGATCTTCTTCAAGAAACTTGGAAACTATAGACTGATTAGATTTTCTACTATAAGATAATCATAAGCATGTTATTGAATGTTCAAAAAAATATGAGTTAATCATGGGAAGCTAGATTTGATTTTGGCCTCAAAGCATCAGGCTCGATTCCACCCTCGGGTGACTGTCTGGGTGGAGTTGGCACATTCCCTCCATGGGTTTCCTCCGGGTGCTCCAGCTTCCTCCCATAGTCCAAAGATGTGCAGTGTAGGGAGATTGGCTATGGGAAATGCAGGGTTACAGGGAAAGGGTGGGTCTGGGTGGGATGCTGTTCGGAGGGTCAGTGTGGATTCGATGGGCTGAAAGGCTTGCTTTCTCACTGTAGGGATTCTATGATTCTATAACAGGAGAAGACCGGTCAAGCTTGACCAATCTTAATCAGTCCTTTGAAGAAGTAGGAGAACATAGCTTTTAAAAAATGCAATGGATGGGGTTTATATGGACTCCCAAAGGAAAGTATGTGATAAGATACCAACCTTATGACAAGATAACTGATGAGAGAATGGTAGAAGAGTTTGAGAGGAATGGGTAGATGGGGCTGGAGAAGATCAGGAGATGAGAAGCACATGGCAAGTGTACATTTTAGTTGGGTCACCTTTACTTATTGTGCATGTGAAAAAAGGATCCGGTTTTGAGAATCGAAGGATAATAACAAAATGCAAAAAGAGGTATTGCAAAATGTGATAAGGATGGCAAATGACCACGTGAGGACAACAGTGAACAGATGGATGACTGTTAGAATTAGAATAGAATCCCTACACTGTGGAATCAACAAGTCCACACCAACCCTCAGAGCACCCCACCCAGACCCATTCCGCTAATCTACACATCCCTGAACACTACAGGCAGTTTAGCATGGCCAATCCACCTAGTCTGCACATCTTTAGACTGTGGGAGGAAACCAGAGCATCGGGAGGAAACACACACAGATATGGGGAGAATGTACAAACACCACACAGACAATTGCCCAAGGGTAGAATCAGACCCAGCTTCCTGGAGCTGTGAGGCAGCAGTGCTAACCACTGAGCCACCATGCCACCCTGGTTAGAGATCAGTATATCAAAAAGTTATGTTATATTTTGGATAGAAATAAATCTCAAATAAAATCACTTGAAATGTAGTAAAAGATCGAGTGTGCAGGCTTTTGAATTTGTGTACATAAATGGATAAAGCCCTAAAAAGACAAGGGGTATCTTTCAAAACATGTTTTGGGTTTGTAGCTGATGTATGACAATTGTACAATAAAGAAGTATTTGGAATTCATGCAAGATTTTACTTTCGTAGCAAACGGGACAATTTTATACATTTTTGTTTCACATCTGTCGTTGGAAAAATGTAAAAGGTAGAAGTTCAATACCTTGCTATTGAGGGTGAGGGTTAGGGGAGAGTTGAGTCGTTTTCTCATTGGGTCTTAAAGAATAACAGGGGATTTCTTCAAGTTCTTTCGATTGCAAAGGGATAAAGTGTAAATAATGATAGATTGTTTCCACAAGAGGGCACAATTTTATAATTGTTGCAAAAATTTGTAGGTAGATTAAAAAGTTTCTGACACATGCTCCAGACCTCATTGCAGTCTTGTTTCAAACACGGACGAAAGAGCTGAAGTGTAGAGGTGAGGTCAAAGTGACTGCCTTTGGTTACAAAACAGCATTTCACTGATGGGCACCAGAGAACTGGAAAAATATTGGAGTCTGCAGAAATCAAAATTCTCCATTTGCAAAAGTCATACTTAATGCAAAGGAAGATGGAAGCCAATCATCTCAATTCCAGGACCTCTCTGCAAGACTTCTTCAGGGCAGAGCCCTGAGCTCAGCTATCTTCAGCTGCTTCATCGTTAAGTTTCCTCCATCATATGGCACACTTGCCTTTATTGGTCAGTGCATTGAGTATAGGAGTTATGATGCCATGTTGTGGATGTACAGGACATTGGTTAGGCTATTTTTGGAATACTGTGTTCAATTCTGGTCTCCCTGCTATAGGAAAGATATTGTGAAACTTGAAAGGGCTCAGAAAAAATTCAGAAGGAAGTTGCCGGGTTGGAAACCTTGATCCAAAGGGGGAGACTAAATAGCCTGGGGCTAATTTCCCTGGAATGTCGGAGTTTGAAGGGTGACCTTATAAAGGTTTATAAAATCATGAGAGGCATGGAAAGGGTGAATAGTCAAGGTCTTTTTCCCAGGGTAGTGGAGTCCAAAACTAAAGGGCATTGGTTTAAAGTGAGAGGGGAAAGATTTAAAAGGGACTTAAAGGGTAAGTTTTTCACACAAAGGGTGTGTGTATGGAATGAGCTGCCAGAAGAAGTTGTGGAGACTGGTACAATTAGAACATTTAAAAGGCACCTGGATGAGTGTATAAACAGGAAGGGTTCATAGAGATTTGGGCCAAATGCTGGCAAACGGGACTAGATTAATTTAGGATATGTGGTCAGCATGGATGAGTTGGACCAAAGGGTCTGTTTCCATGATGTACATCTCTATAGTTCTATAAGGTCAGAATTCGGGATATTAGTTGATGTTTGCAGCATTCAGTTTTATTTGCAACTGCTCAGGTAATGAATTAATCTGTGTACAAATATTACAAGATTTAGACCGAATATTCAGGTTGCTAAGTTAAAAATAACATTGAATAATAACAAAAATAACAAAATAACATGAATCACAAAGAGGTGGTTTGCAGATGCAGCAGGTAAATACGAGAGCAAATGGAATATTGTCCTTAATTGCAAGAAGGATTGAGTTTAAAGGTAAGGAGGTTATGTTACAGCTGCATAGGTTGGTGACGAGGCCACACCTGGAGTACTGTGTGCCATTTTGTTCTTCTTACTTGTGAAAGGATGTACTGGAGGGGTTCAGAGGAGGTTCACTAGGTTGATTTGGCTTTGGGAGTGTTGGCTTAAAAAGACAGACTGAGTAGACTAGAACTATACTCATTGGAATTTAGAAGAATGAAGGGAGATCTTATAGAAACATCAAAATTATGAAGGGAATAGGTAAGATAGAAGCAGGGAAGTTGTTTCCACTGGTGGGTGAAACTAGAACGACGGGGCAAAGCCTCAAAATAAGGGGGAGCAGATTTAGCACTGAGTTAAGGAGGAACTTCTTTACCCAAAGGGTTGTGAATCTCTGGAATTCTCTGCCCCGTGAAGCAGTTGAAGCTATCTCGTTAATGTTTTTAAGGCAAAGATAGATGTTTGAACAGTAAATGAATTGAGGTTTGTGGTGAGTGGGCAGGTAAGTGGAGCTGAATCTCAAAAAGATCAGCCATGATCTTATTGAATGGCAGAGCAGGCTCGAGGGGCCAAATGGCCTACTCCTGCTCCTAGTTCTTATGTTCTTATTTGTGTCACACACAGGCACCGTTCAAGATCATTTCCAATTGAAGAAAGTCTCTAATCATCCATCCTTGATAGGAACTGCCACTGCTGAGTCTTCCATTGTCAACACCTTGGGGATTACAACTGACCTGAAGCCACAAGATGAGTTCAGAGACTGGGAATTTACACCTGATTCCTCACCTCCTGCCTCCCTAGATCCTTTCTGTTATCCACACAGCACGTGTCAGGAGTGTGATTGAATGACTGCCCTTTGCCTAGATGAGTGCAGCTCCAACAACCCTCAGAAAACTTGGCACGATTCAGTAAAAAGCAAAAATAGAAATTGCTGGTGAGACTCAGGCCTGGCAGCACCCTTGCAGAGAAAGCAGAATCAATGTTTCAAGACTGGTGTCTTTTCATCACAACTGAGAGGAGACAGGAAAAAGTGGTATTTATGTTGAAGGGGGAATGGAGCAGATAGGTGGAGACGGAGCCCAGAGACAGAGAGAGAGAGAGACATGACAGAGGTAGACAGACAAGGGAATTATTAATCGTAGGCCAGGACAGAAGAGAAGCTGAACAAGTGATATTGAGAGCTGAGAGTAGGAGAGAATGAGTAAGCTATGCTGAAAGCAAACCATGTCATGTAGTAATAGGCCTGAGAGCGAGTTAGAATGGATGACTGTGCTAACAGCATAATAGGACGGGGTGTGGCGTGGGCAAAAAGCATGGAAGGATGGAATCAGGCTCTAAAATGATAGAACTTAGTATTGAGTCCTAGAAGCTGCAGGGTCCCCAAGTGGGAAAAGAGATGCTGTTCTTTGAGCTTGTACTGAAGCTCGCTGGAGCACTGGGGCAAAAATTGTCGGTGTGGGAACATGGTGGGGCGGCAGGCGCCTGGAAAAGTAAAAGTAAAAACCAATATGTTTCACTGGCACATCATCCTCCACTTTAAACATTCACTCCATCACTGTGGTGGCAGTGTGCACCATCTGCAAGACGCACTTTAGCAACTTGCCAAGTCTCCTTTGACAGCACCTTCCAAGCCCATGACCTCTACCACCTCAAAATAAAACTCAGCTACCTGCAAGATCCCCTTAAGCGATACACCATCCTCTCTTGGAGTATCGCCACGTGTTTGCTGTGACAAGGTAAAATCCTGCAACTCCCTTCCTAACAGCAATGTGGGTGTCTCTACAGCCCACAGACTGCAGTTATTCAAATGGCAATATCAAACCACCTTCTGAAATGCCATGCAGATGGATAATGTATGGTCCCACGTTGCCAGTGATGATCAGATCCTGTAAATGCATGCAAATTATGTACATTTCAGAATTGTAACCTTCTCTAATTGTCAATTTGATCAAAATAAGTGCTTTTTCTTGACATCAAGGGAACTTGTGATAAATTGTTTTTCAGGAGATGTCATCAGGAATTTTGACAGTGATTGCTGCTTAAGATGCAACTGCTCAAGGCAGGCCTTGGCATAAGTTAGAAACAAAGACTGTAATATGTCTAGCAAAATGTCCGAGAAACAGCAAGCAATCTAAATTTGTACATTGACGTCATTGTCACAAATTTATGCCTTTGAAGACAAAATACAGGCAAATCCTGCTGATAATGCAGGAAAACAAGCTGAAGATTTTGGCTGGGAGATGCAGGACAATCAATCTTTGAAATGGTCAGATGTCACGACTCCTCCTGCTGCATTAATCATCATCCCATGACATATTCGAGAATAATGAATGGTTAAGGAAACAACTTGACTGACTTAAACACAAAAACACTGGAATTTTCCCAATGCTAAACAACGTGGGCAATGGCCGAAATTTGGGGAAAACAACAATGAGAATGATAAAATGAGATTCTCGACAGTGAGAGAAAAAGACCTGGTTTTCCCCCTTAAGTTTTCAAAGGCTAGATGAAAATTTTGCCAAGCTTTGCAAGTGTGAGGACCCTATTACTGTCATATGCTAGCAAACCTCTCCTCTCAATTCTGTGCAGGTTGCTATTCTCCCTGAGAGGGACTAGAGGGCACCAAACCCAACTTGAAAGTCAGAGTGAGTTCCAGGTAGCGGCAGCTCGCTGGCATCGTCTCTGGGTCTCCATGTTGGTCATCGTTGCCCATGGTTTACCTTACGGCAAACTCCATGGAATTTTTTTTCATTCATTCATGGGATGAGGGCATCACTGGCCTGGCAGCATTTATTGCCCATCCCTAATTGCCCAGAGGGCAGTTAAGAGTTAACCACATTGCTGTGGGTCTGGAGTCAGGATTTGAACCCAGGTCCCCCAGAACGTTATCTGGGTCTCTGGATTAACAATCCAGTGCTAATACCACAAGGCCATCACCTCCACCCTTTGCCCATGGTGGTTGGCTCACTCCACCTTTGTGGCCAGTCCAGACCAACTTATAATACAGCACAAAGAACAGTACAAAGAACAGTACAGCACAGGACCAGGTCTTCAAACCAACAAGCCCATGCCATCACACGATAGATTTCTAAACTGAACACCTTTTGCCTCTAAGTGGTCCATATCCCTCTATTCCTTGCCTATTAATATATCTGTCAAGATGCCTCTTAAATGTTGCTATTGTATCCACCTCCACCACCTCCTCGAGCAGTGCATTCCAAGTACCTCTGTGTAAAAAAACTTGCCTCCCACATCTCCTTTAAATTTAAGCCTTTTTACCTTAAACCTATGCCCCCTATTATTTGACATTTTTACCTTGGGAAAAG